TCAATTCAACTTGTTAACCAACATAAAACCACTTCCTTTATTCTCCTTTGGTTACGTTAGCTATCTACCAGGCAGCGAGGTGAGCAGACTAAAGAAAGGTCTGATAAGACTAGAGACAGCAGAAGACAGAAGCATGCAGATCAGTGCAAGGAAGGGGACTTTCCAACTCTGGCAGCACTGGGCTGACAGATCAATGTGGGTGCACGACGCAGTTTCACCCTTGGAGAAGCCACGGACTAGCCTGCAGCTCCCATAATGTCCCTGAAGCCCACACCAGTCACGAGGGCTCGAAGCCTTTATCCCCACACACCTTTCCAAAGCAGCATGGGCCGAGATCACGCTGTGATCTCAGACGGGCTTAAGCAAACATAAGCAGGTTGTTTTGCTGCCACTGCCCGTAATCAGCTTGCCAGTTCTCCGTGCACCCAGGAGCCAGACCCAGGAGCTCTACCGCTGTTTGGGACAGCAGAAGGAAAGAGCTGGCAAGTGCCCTGGACCCCACACTCCCACCCAAAGCCCCCTGACTCACTATGTTGCTGTGGTGAGCCTTAGTCATGAGCAGCATGCGGCCAACCAGGTCAGTGGTGGACACACCTTGGGTGCGTTTGCATTCCCTGCAGGGAGACAAGCAAAGGATAAAGCAGGAGCCATAGGAGCCTATGCCTCTCTCTCTTCCTACCGTTACCACAGGAACACCTGTGACACCTGATAAATTCAAACCAGGGGCCATCCTGAGAAAGTCTTCCTTTTACCTGCTCTTGGCAGAAAGCACAGCATCCATTTGCTGAGACTCTGCACCTTCTTCATGCCACAGCAACTGCTCATCTGAGGCAAACCTACCTTGTGCGGACCTCCCATCAGAGCTAACTCCTGACAGAGGCCGGAAGACCAGAATGAGCATCTGCCACAATCAGGAAGGCTCCCCAGTCAGTTACTGGTCTGGGACGCTTCCCGGAAGCCCAAATGGTGGGAGCGACTGAAGCTCTGATACAAGCCACCGCAAAATTAGCGTGTAACCTGAAGGTAGCTGTGTTTCATCTGACTTCCCTTCAGGGCATGAACTCCTAGAAACTCTGCCCAAAACAGGATAAGGTAAGCAGCAACGGGTTACCTGTATCGCCCCGCTGTCTTCACTTCCTCGTAGGTATCTTTGCCATCTATTGTTAAGGTGATGTCATCTGCAGAGAGAGAAAAGCTTCAGAACTGCGCCCCAAGGCTTCCTGCACAGAAGCTGTTTTAGAACGACAGCAGAAGCTGAACAGGTTGTCCAGCACATATGCCAGGACCAGAACCCCTGCAATCCAAATCCCTGTGCATACACGGGGGATACATCCTGCATCCCATGGAAATGCCAGCGGTTTGCAAGACTACTGTATTTGTGGGGACAAGCGTATTCCTGGATGCTAACCACCATTAGCCATCTGGTCTGCTGTTTTTCAGTCCAGAAAACCTGAGCTGGTTGCCCTTGCAGTGAATCCAGCAGCAGGAACGACTGAACTGCTGTCTGAATGCCAATAAACAGCCACCATCAGTCTCAGTGCCAAAAAGCACCTAATCTGAACTTCTCTAGCAATGGCTTTAGCCCTTGGTCCACGTTACAACTTTTTCAGTCAGCTAAACAGTCCTCCAACAGCCAGTTCTTCCCCTCAGGGATGGCACTTCTACAGTGACATCAAGCCACCCTTCTACAGAGTTAACTAACTGGCACAGTTCCCAACTCACTCTACAAAAACCACTCTCGCCCACTTTTAGTGATCGTAAAAAATCTTCACAAGGGAAAGCCTCAGCTGCCTTCCGCTTGGCAAAGCGGCCAGTTCCCAGCGCAGGCGCTGGCAGCTCACAGGGCTGGCTCTCGCGCAGTCGGGTGGCATGCTCTGGGATGCGCAGGAGTTCTCAAACCCCCCACCCTCACCTTGGGGCACCGGGACAGGAGGAGAAGGAACATGCTGCACACACGGCTCCACGTGCCAGGAGAGAGGCAGAGACAGCAGGTTTGCTCTGTCACCTTCCCAGTTAAGCTCAGCTATTTCAAAACATCTTTTGTATAAACACAACCTGGCAAAACTGCAGCATTCCAGGGTATTACTCAGGTAGAAGTACCCAATGATTTGAAGAGGGGATCAACGCCGGGAACGCGGAGCAAAGGCCACGAGTGCTTCTCTATTGCCATAATCACTCACCAAGTCTAGTAAGTGGTCACATCCTCCCAGCACACATTCAGGATAGGCAATTAAGTTAACAAGGAATTTGATAATCACCCTGTCCACGTGAAAAAGCCTATCTTATAGATGATTTATTTACATTTAATGAAATACTCAGCTTATCGATAGCAGGTGGCTGGGATCAGATGAGGGAGGATATGTGCAATGAGTGCAAAGACTACACCTGATCAAACTAACAAAATACCTTCAGAAGGGTAGGGAGGAGGGGCTTGGGCTGAACGAACACGAGAAGCAGTCCCAGGAAGGGCCAGAGTACAAAAGCAAGAATGTTTCGTCACAACACTGGTTCTCTTCAGAGACTGTAAACTGAAGTGTTCACAGTAAGAACTAGGTCTCTGACCACACAGTCAGCTAAGCCCTTGAACAGCTTATCAGCTGGATAAAGAGAGAGAAGCTTTTCAGATCTGATCTCATCCCAGCATAAGTAGATATAAACATGATTGTATTTCTGCACACTTACCTTTTTAACAGCATTTTCCACATTTAAGTTTTGCAAATGACTTTCTCCTGTGCACAAATTTCTGCTGGTGCTAAGTGCAACCTCAGGATAATTGTCAGACAACGCATTTCATCTTTGTAAATGAACGGGATGCTTAAACCCAAGGGATCTGGCCACTCTCGGGGTGCCCAGCACACAGATGCATTTCTCCAGATCAGGCACAGCCACATCGCCCAGCACAGGCGGCAAACCTCTGCACACGAGGTACCCCGATGGCCAGCCAGAACGTTCCTCGGTTTGCAGCAGGGAAACCAAGAGCACGCAAGCCCAGGAGGACCTGTGTTAATACAACTATCGCCTCGGAATACCACTCACCACCGTGCACACAGAAGTCACAGTTATATTTGTCCAGGGTTTCCAGTGTGGTGACATAGGGAGCTCCTGGAGCAATCTCATCCACCCACTTGATAGCTTGCACCATTTTGTACCTCTCCTCCTGTGTAAAGACAGGGGGGCCCTTGTGCTTGGCAATCTCCTCTGGGTGAGAAACAGAAAAACCCAGTTAGAAGCACATACTACAGCTACGAAGACTCTCACCTACAGGAGCCTCACTCACTTCACGGGTAGGTGAACTTCACTGCAGACCTAAACTCTGCTTGGAATTGGTTTGTGGTTGAGAAGGAAGCCCCAGCTAGATCAGAAAAGACTTTAATTCAGTTGCGTTTCCTAAGTGTGTAACAAGGGCCCTGGAATTCAGCTGGAAGGCAACAGGTCTCAGTGCCTCCCTGTACCCAGATGCTTCCTAGTGGGGGGACGTGTGCCTCCTGGAGAAATTCCCCTTTTAAGCAATAGCTTCACGCTATGCTCGGTTCACACTAGAAAACGTGCATCCATAAAACAATTTAAGATCCATCTTCACACACAAGAACTAGCTCCTAGCACTTAACTCTCACATGGACTTGAAACGAGTTTTCTCCGCACGGTAACTTGTTTTGGAATATCAGTTCTGCAGTTTGCACCTGCAAAACCAGCCTGATTTTCAACTGGTTCAATTGTTTTTACAGCACAGAATACAGATCACCCCTCAAACGAAGCCTGCAAGCTCTGAACTACCCAAACCTCGCTCCAGAAAGCGTGAAAGGGGTAACTCCAGTCCCTTACCCAGGGAAGATACACTTTTCTTTTGGAGGCTGCTGCTCCTTGAGGAGATGCAGAACGATGCCTGCTTTGTATCACGGTACGTCCGCTCTCCGGGGGCTAACGCTGCTGGGTGATTCTAGAGGCAGCACGAGGTGAAAAGCTGAGAAAACCTCTTACCATCTGTGTGGACTCCAACAATCAGATAATCTCCCATGGCCCGAGCCTGGCGCAGCTGGTTCGAGTGGCCATAGTGCACCATGTCATAGCTAGAAAGACAACGGCCCCGGTTCAGCCTGGGG